CTGCTTAAGGTGCTCCTGAAGCTGGACCACGTACTTTAAGAGGCCCTGGGCCGGTGACGGGGTTTGCTCCCAAGTCTCCCTCATTAGGTCCAATAGGCCCCGAGGTCAACGGCCATATAGTAGCTCGAATGGTGAGAACTTGGTCGACGACTGGGGAACTTCTCGGACCGCCAGGAGCAAGGGTGGGAGTAGCTGGTCCCATCGATGAAGGTCCTCCTGGGGGAACTTCCGGAGCATATCCTTTAGGGTACGGTTGAACCTTTCGACCAACCCGTCAGTCTGGGGGTGATAGACTGACGTGCGCAATTGCTTGACCCCCAGAAGTTCACACACCTGCTGAAACAGCCGCGAAGTAAAGTTGGTCCCCTGATCCGTGAGGATCTCGCGGGGCAAGCCGACTTGGGCAAAAACCTTCACCAGTTCATCGGCGATGGCGCGGGCTGTGATATTCCGGAGGGGAATTGCCTCGGGGAACCGGGTGGCGTAGTCCAACATTACCAGGATATATTGAAATCCCGCATTGCTCTTGGGAAGGGGCCCCACCAGGTCCATGGCCACGCGTTCGAAGGGGGTCTCGATTAAAGGCATAGGGATCAACGGGGCCTTGGGAGCCCATGCCGGGGCGACCAACTGGCAGTCGAGGCAGGAGTTGCAGTACCTCTTTACCTCCTGGTACACCCCCGGCCAGAAGAAGCGCCCCAGGATCCAGGCCAGGGTCTTCTAGTGACCGAGGTGTCCAGCCGCGGGGACGTCGTGGGCCAGCTTCATGACAGCCCATCGATGACACCGGGGAACGAGGAGTTGGGTCCGGGTTTCCCCCGTGTGGGGGTCCCGTTCGACGCGATATAGGCGGCCCTGCCTCAACTCAAAGTGTGGCCACTGGGCTGCTCGACCAGGGTCGAGGACAGTCCCGTCCACAATAGCCAGTTGTTCATACACCCGCTGTTCCTGGGCCACCCGCCGAGGCCAGGTCTCGGTGGGGTAGGTCAGACTCCTAAACCGCTGGCGGAAACTTTCGGGACTCACATCCAGGGCGTCCAGAATGGCAGTCTTTACTTGGCTGTAATCTTGGGATGCCTGCTCAGTCCCAGTCAAGTACGGGGCCAAGATGAAAGCCCACTGCTTCAGGGCCCAGCCGGCGACGACTGCCACCCACTCGAAGGTGACGAGAAAGGCTTCAGGGTCGTCGTCGGGTACCATCTTCGTTAGCCGGATCGGGGGGCTGGGTCGTGTGGTCCCAGCTGTGCCTCCCGGCTGTGCTTCCCAAGGTCGGGCCAGCGCCCCTGCGAGCTGCTGAAGACATTGCTGCTGGAAGTCCTGGTGCTGGGTGACTAGGTCTTGGATGAACTGGTTCTGCTGGGTTCCCAACTGCTCCATGAGCTGCTGCTGCTGCTGCAGCTGTGCGGCCTGCTGTTCCTTTTGCTGTTGCAACTGGGCCACCTGCTGCCGCTCCTGGGTTTCCGTCACCAGGGCCAAGAGCTGGGACAGATCCATCTCTCGGGACGGGGATCTTTCTCCCCCGGCTCCTCTCTCCCCGGGGTCGAGAGTTCGCGCCAACATCCTGGGCGGAACTCCTCAGAGAAGGCACCACGTGTAGACGTCCTGGGGAGGGGCTGGTCCCTCATGGGGGCGGCTGGGAGCCAGGCCGCCTCACTACCCGAGGCGGGGAGCAGTTCAGTCTTGCGTGCCCAGGCCTAGGTCGGGCGGGCAGCCAATCGTAGTACAGGGCTCAGTCCCTCAGGCAGGGAGTGAGCAAACAAACAGTAAGTTCAGGGGCTCAGGCCCTCAGGCAGGGGGAGGAGGAGGAGACTGCCACCCGGCATGGGGTGGCAGGGGGGAACACAGGCCCACCCACTCCACTGTGTTCCAGCCCGGGGCCCTATCAGCAGCAGTCCGTCTGCTGCTGGGTCAGTGGGGATCCTGACCGCAACACACTGACATGGGTTCGGGGTCGGCCATCCCTGGGCCACTTCCCATCTCCTCCTCCATGGGTACCTGTGCGTCCTGAGCTTCGTCCACCGTGTCCCAGATTATGGGCTCCTCAGGGCAGCGAGCGCTGGGTAGGTCGGGCGGTTCCTCCAGACCCTCGGTGAGGGGAAGTTCAGTCTGCTCCTCAGGACATCGGGCTCGGGGCAGGCACGGTGCAGCAGGAGCTCAGGCACCAGCGTCTGCCCTCTCCTGCAGTCAGGCCGCAACTGAGTGCTGGGGCCGGGCCTTTATACTTCCTGTCCCGCCCCTTGACTTCTGGGGGTCAGGGACAGGCGGTGACTCTGCCCACTCTAGTGGCTGTTCTGGCTCGTCCCTCACGGGGGCGGCTGGGAGCCAGGCCGCCTCACTACAGTTGGATATTCGGAAACACTATTTCACTAGGAGGGTGGTGAAGCACTGGCATGGGTTCCCTAGGGAGGTGGTGGAATCTCCTTCCTTAGAGGTTTTTAAGGCCTGGCTTGACAAAGCCGTGGCTGGGATGATTTAGTTGGGGTTGGTCCTCTTTGAGCAGGGGGTTGGACTAGATACCTCCTGAGGTCTTTTCCAACCCTCATATTCTATGATTCTATGAGCAGTGTCTGGCTGTGTGTGTTCTCGGCAGAGATGAGGATAGTTAAATCCCTCATACACAGAGTGTTCTGCACCTTTGAGCACCTGAGGAGCTGCCCCTGGGATTTGACGGCTTTAAAATGGGCTGAGGTTAAACCAATAAACTCTTCTTTGTGAGAAATGTCCCATGAACTCCCCTGATCTCCCTTGTTTTCTATCCCCTCAGCAGGGTTTCCTGTTTCCAAACCTGATGTGATCTCCCAGCTAGAACGAGGGGCAGAGCCATGGCTCCTGGATCTCCAGGGCTCTGAGGAAGGAGATATCCTGAGAGCTGCCTGTGCAGGTGAGGGATCATTAAACCAATTCAAAAACGCTCCGTGCCTGAAGGAAGGAGCTGGGATTCCTTAAAAAGGCCTTGGGAGCTCTCAGAGTTCAGGAGTATCCCCAGGAGGGCTTGTACCCTATGGGCAGCTATCGCTCCTGGCTTCCTACCCATCCTCACTGACACCTGGCAGCAGCTCCCTACCTGATGGGATGTGGAGGCAGAATTGTTCCCCTCCTCTGTCCCCTAAGGAGAGGAGTTTTGCAGAATTCAGCTATTAGGTTTTTTCTGTCTCTCCAGCTCTAATTTTGGTTTGTTTTCCCCTTTTCCACCTGTCAAAGTCAGATTCAGGACTCACAATTTATTAGACCACTCTGTTTATTAGCAAAGCGCTCTGCTAATACACCCAGATAATGTGAGCACCATGCAAGACTCAAATTATCTTATTTATACAGATAAAAGGGAACTTAACAAGATAACAAAAGGAAGCAGAACTGATAAGTTTACCTGGGGCTAGATATACATATCTTATTTCCTTACTATTACCGATCTCCTGTTAATGTCCCATCATTAGCTTGAGTGGACCCATTGTTTCATACCTTAATGTTTCTCTTCCTGACAACTATATTTCAATATTCCTTATTCCTGCTTAAAGGAACATACAGTATTTCTTTAATCCATTATATTTTTACAATATAATTCATTCTACTTTCACACACCCTGTTTCTGACATTTCTCCCTGTGTCTCAGCAGGTGCTGGGATGGTGAGTGAGAAAGAGGAGCAGAATCCTCAGCAGGAAGATGCTGAGCACATGGAAGCACATGGGGGATTATCGCAAGGATCCCAAGGGAATGTATCCAGGCGTCATGTGCAGGGAAAAGCCTCTGATTGCCAGCACAGGCCAGAGAGGCAGCAGGGAAACCAGCCAGGTGAGAAACTTGGTAAATCCATTAATTGTCAGGAGACTCACACAGACCTCAAGGAAATCACAGCCCAGCAGAGAACACCCACAGGAGAGAGAAAAAACACATGCACCGAGTGTGGGAAAGACTTCAGTAGCCGCTCAGACCTTATGAAACATGAGCGAATCCACACTGGAGAGAGGCCCTATGGATGCGGGGTGTGCGGGAAAACCTTCAGCCAGAGCTCCCACCTTGTTCGGCATCACAGGATCCACTCAGGGGAGAGACCCCATGAGTGCGGCAAGTGCGGGAAACACTTCACTCTGAGCTCCGCCCTGATTAGACACCAGAGGATCCACACGGGAGAGCGACCCTATGAGTGCAGTGAGTGTGGGAAAACCTTCACTGACAGCTCTGCCCTTATTAATCACCAGAGGACCCACACGGGAGAGCGACCCTATACATGCTGTGAGTGCGGGAAACAGTTCACTCGGAGCTCAGGGCTTATTATACATCAGAGGATCCACACAGGAGAGAGGCCCTATGAGTGCTGCAAGTGCGGGAAAAGCTTCACTGTCAACTCAGACCTAATTAATCATCAGAGGATCCACACAGGAGAGAGGCCCCATGAATGCTGCGAGTGCGGGAAAAGCTTCACTCAGAGCTCGGCCCTTATTAGACATCAGAGGATCCACACAGGGGAGCGACCGTATAAATGTTGTGAGTGCGGGAAAAGCTTCACTGTCAAGTCAGATCTTATTGGACATCAGAGAATCCACACGGGAAAGATCCCCTATAAATGCTCTGAGTGCGGGAAAACTTTCACGCAGAGCTCAGCCCTTATTACGCATCAGAGGATCCACACAGGAGAGAGACCCTATGAATGCCGTCAATGCGGGAAAAAATTCACTGTCAAGTCAGACCTTAATAGACATCAGAGGGTCCACACGGGAGAGCGCCCCTATGAGTGCTCTGAGTGCGGGAAACAGTTCAGTCAGAAATCAAACCTTAGTGCACATCAGACAAGCCACACAGGAGAGACACCTTATCAGTGCTGTGAGTGCGGGAAAGGCTTCAGTGTGAGCTCAGCCCTTATAATACATCAGAGAATTCACACGGGAGAGAGACCCTATCGATGCTCAGTGTGCGGGAAAAGTTTCATCCGCAGCTCACACCTGAACAGACATCAGAGTCTCCACCGGAGAGAGAGACAGCATCAAAACTTTGTGTAGGGCAGAGAAAAGATCATTTTTAAAACACATTTGCTAATTCCCACACAGTGACCTTTTGGTTTGTTTGCACCGTTTGTGTCACCCTGTTCTCTCAGCTCCCTCATATGAGTTGCACACTTTTGCCTTTTTGCAGGTCACCTTCTCTGGGGTGAATCCCATGGTCCTTTCTACCAACTCCCTTCTCCAGCGAGTCTTGGGAGTGTGTGTCCCTCCTGCCAGGAGTTTCCATCAGCCCGAGGTGAGGGAAATAGGGGTGAACTCAAGTAGCTAAACTGAGCTAAAATTGATCTGGGCTTTGTCTCCTCCAGGATTTTCCAGCCTAATGTAAGCGCACCACTATATGTGCAGTGCTGACATAGGTAATCCCAACCCCTGTGCCTGGGCTATGTCAGCACTGCACATATAGTG